AGGGTGAAATCTCTCTAAGGGAGGAGTGATAGGGAATGGCAAAGGACACACTGACAAAGGAGATTAATCAGAACTGGCTTTGACAAGCACTGTGGCAATGGGACAATTAAAACAAACTTTCAAGGAATATTCAACCTGAATCTTTCTGATCATATGGAGATTTTGGTAAGTATTTCTTTGAGTTTGTTATGTTTAATTTGTTTGTTTGTGTATAAAGGATGCTCATCTAGATGATAACATACTTATGATAAAAACAAAAGGGGGGAAATATGGGAAGCCAATACTAAATATTTGTAATAAACGGAATGCTATTTAAATTAAAAAAAGGGGGGGAAGAATAATAACCACACACAAAAAATAGCCTATTGTAGCTCTCATCCTTTGTAGTTTTTCATGCTACAAAACCAAAAATGCTTATGGCTCTTGAACATCTCTTTATTATTTCTGTGATATGGAGTGTTTCCCATTTCAGGAATGTAACAAGGCACCTGCTTCCAGATCGTTTGTCTACAAGATTGGTGTTCATGCGAGAAGACTTCCCAGACACTCCCTCCACTCCGCACTTGGTCTTTACCGGCATACGCTGCTAGCGCTATCATCCTATGAGAATGTGACTGCTCATTGTGTGTCTGTCTTCACTGTTACAGAGCGAGCTCCTAGAAGTTATGTGTTTGACTTGTCTGTGAATCCACTGTAGCTAGACCATGAAGCTCAAGAAAGAGGTATGAATAGAACAGAAATTCTCAGAAAATCAGAGAAGTCCTGTAAAGACTACATTCCCAGGAAGATCAAGTTTTACATACACTTTGGAGATGCTTACCTTCCTTCCAGCTATGTAACCTCCTGAAGCGCCAAAGCTTTTAGTGAAGGTGCCCATGAACACATCGATATCACGAGGGTCCATTCCAAAGAATTCCACGACACCTCGGCCAGTGGGGCCCACGCTCCCAATGCTATGAGCCTCATCTATGTAGAGGTAGGCTTTGTATTTATTCTTCAGAGCCACAATCTGAGGCAGGTGCACAATGGAACCTTCCATGCTACATCACAAAAAGAAATGCTTATGAGTAACATTGAACTTTCTAGGAAGATTTGCACTGGTCCCCCTTCTGGTGTGTCTCAGCTAACCTGCAGGACATCAATCAGCCAGGAGTGAAGGAGGCACACCTTTCCTTTCTTCCTACTCTCCTTTTTCTCCTTGCCTTTTCCCTCTCTCCACTCTCCCTCTTCTCTTTCTTTTTCCTTTCCTCCCATTTCCTTCTCCTCCCTCTTTTCTCCCTTTCTTCCTAGTCTTAAAATAGACCCACACAGCATTTTCTGTTTTAATTGTTTTCAGGTTAGAATCCAGTGGTTTTATTAATATTCACAATGCTGGGAAACTACTATCAATACTTGTTTACAAAAATGCTTCATATCTCTAAATGAAATCTTAGTGCCCCCCAATCAATGAACATCCCTTCCCTCTTTCCTCCAGTTCTTGCTAAATACTCATAATCCACTAAATGAGAGTCAAGGACTTCGAACTCATCAGTCACGACACAGGAGAAAGATGTGCAGGTCTGTGTTTATAGATTACAGCCTTGGAAACTCCATGGGGAAGCTCCACTCTTAGAGGGTTGCCATGTGTGTGAGACAAAGGATATATTTGATTTTGGTTTATTTGTCTGTTTTTTAATTACTGATAATTTTTATGAGATCTCAGGAGTGGCATCCACTTCCTAAACAACATGCCTCTGAAAATCCTATGAACTTTGAGAAACAATAATTATAGAAAGGCTTCAGGTCTTTTATTCCTAGGGTTGCTATGAGTTGTGCTCAATTCAATTACAATCACCAGCAACATGGTGCCCTAGTGGTAAGAAGCTATGCTGCAATCTCAAAGGCTTGTGGTTCAAATCTACCAGCTGCTTCACAGGAGGACAGGCTAGCTCCTCTCATATGATTTACTACCTCTGAAAACCCTCTGGAGGGTCAGCTTTGAGTCAGTTCTTAGTGGCAAACAACAATTATGTTTAACATTAATAATGTTTAATTTTTCCTATGCTTCTGTAATTATTTTCTTAAGGCACATTTTATTTAAGGAAACCTTATTAATGTTGAAGAAATGTTCAAAAATTTCTGTGCATATTAAAAAATAATTTACATGAAATGAATTTGAATGTTTTTGTCTTGATGGCTAATTCCAAGTGAATAATTAGCTCACTGTATTACTGATGCCATTTGGTCTCATATTGACCTCATAAAGCTGATTTTTACAAGCAGACCACTCTGGACTCTATATATTTCAGTAGTTCTATTTGTATAATCTTCTGGAGGCGCGGTAGGTTTGAGGACTCTGAGCACGTGTGGTGGTTCTTTGGGGCCCATAAGGGGGTGGGCAGAGCAGACTAGCCAGATGAATGGGGGGTCTGGGGCAGGGAGTTTTCTAGAACTTGGGCGTGCCAGGCTGCTAAGACAATGAAAGGCCAAGCCCGCCTAGGGTCTTGGGGTATTTAATGCCAGCTGGATCCGGTCTCTGGCTTCTGGAGGGAGGTGGGTTTGGGGACTCCGAGCAGGTGTGGTGGTTCTTTGGGGCCCACGAGGTGTGGAGCCAAAGGTGGGTGACTTTTAATCCGCGACCCTCTGGCCTGTCTTTCATTGTTTTTGTTCAGACATTCCTCGAGGTCATATAGCCCTGGTGTACAAGTTGCTGTACAGCAGTCACTTGTGGTTGCCGTGAGGCTGAACACTGTGACACGGATTTGTCAAATGCATTAATGGCTGGTTACCCAATGTGGACAGAGAGTGGGGTGGAGCTCCCCGATGAAAACAAGCTTGGAAGGAGGAGTGGCATCCACATCCATAATAGCTTGTCTCCGGAAACCCTATGAACCTGGAGAGAGGAAGAAAGGCACCCAAGTGTCCAGGACTCTCCTTCATAGGGTCACTATGAGTTGCCTGCAACTTGATGGCACTTAACAACAATAACATCAACATAGAGAGAAAGATCAGCTGGCCCAGTGGACAGAAGGCGATCCTACCAAGCCAAAGGTGGGTGACTTTTAATCTGCGACCCTCGGGCCTGTCTTTCATTGTTTTTGTTCAGACACTCCTCTCGGCTGTATAGCCCTGGTGTACAAGTTGGCCTACCACGGTCACTTTTGGTTGCTGTGAAGCTGAACACTGTGACACTGATGTGTCAAATGCGTTAATGGCTGGTTAGCCAATGCGGACAGAGAGTGGGGTGGAGCTCCCCAATGAAAAAAAGCTTGGAAGTAGGAGTGACATCCACTTCCATAATAGCTTGCCTCCGGAAACCCTATGAACCTGGAGAGAGGAAGAAAGGCACCTAAGCGTTGAGGACTCTCCTTCATAGGGTCGCTATGAGTCGCCTGCGACTTGACAACACTTAACAACAACAACAATGACAAGAACAACAACAACAACATTTGTATACTATGTAGAACTCTACATTTTACCAGGCTGCCAATATTACTTAGTTATTTATGATCTAAATTGTTGCTTGAATTTCTAAAGATAAAAAGTGAGACTTTGTAAGTAAACCAGTATAAAAAGAAATTTTTTATACTTTTACAAAAGGTATAGGAAATAGCTGAATTTAAAGGACTCAGTGCAAAGCATTCAACATGGTATAAAACAAAAGTATCTGACAAAAGAAATATGTAGTGTTACAACGACTTAAATAAACCAATTTGTTGGTGGTGTTATTATGTACCATTGAGTCAGAATTAACTCATGGCTGACCCTCCAGTGGGTTCTCAGAGGCAGTTAATTGCATGAAAGAAGACTGTCCATCTTTCTCCTATAGAGTAGCTGGTGGCTTTGAACCTCATGCCTTTGTATTGGCAGTGCAACTCCTTACTACTAAGCCACTAGAGTGCCTACCCCAATTTAGACACAGAAATTTAAAACAAAGACAATGATTATTTCGGCACAAAGCAGAAGCAGTTCATGTGCACTTCTCATATCATTCTACAGAATACTGAGATCAAAGGTCAAGATTAAATACAATAAAATTTTATCACTTCATCAGCAAAAAAAAATAAGAGAGACTTAAAAGCACACAGAAGACTATTATTTAGTACTGTGCTGGTGTTATGTGCTGTCAAGTTGGAACTGATCCGTAGGTGACTCTCCAAGGGGGTTTCAGAGGCAGTAACTGTGCAGGAGAAGAGTAGTCTAAGAATTCTTGTCTGCAATGGAGGTGTGGGTTTGAATCCCACTCGAAAGTCCCCAGGCGCTCACTGGGGGAAAACAAAGGGCTTGGCAGAGTTGTCTTACTCTGCAGCATTAAAGCAGTGATCCTCAATCTTAAGCCATCAGAACTTGCCTTGTACCAGTTGCTATTGAGTATATTTCAGCTCATGGTGGTCCTGTGAGAGCAGGCATTTTTACGGCTAGGATAGCCGGAGCTTCCTTCGCAGGCATCTTTGGATGGGCTGGAATCCCCAATCTTTGGGTAAGAAGCTAAGGCTGTTAACACTTTGGCACCACCCAGGGCCACAGAACCCCGGCTTGTTCAGCTTTCTGTGACCAAATTATTTTCTGTTGATACTATATATTTCCAGTAGTGAGAGGCATGCTAAACCAAGGGAAAATAGATCTTGAGGTAATTTGGATTTTGATAATTTATTTGGGACACGGATGGCTCATGTAGCTTCTGGTGTTGGGATTAGCGGGGTGAGGCATGTTTCTTCGGATTCATGCAGCTAACCAGGCCTTTGCTAGGTGCTGCTACAAGCAGGTTGGCAGCTTCCTAAGAGACAGGCTCAAAGTCTTGTGGGCAATATATGTCCCAGGGGTTGTGTATGGGTAAAAATGTGGATTGCTGGCATGTTCTCGAGAGTTTCTAATCAGTGGTTCTAGTGAGGGCCGATGTTGTGTGAAGACGGAACTGACTCAGTGTCTGAGGCAATCAATAGTACAGAAGGAGATTGTCCATCCTCATCTCACCAAGCAGCTGGCGGATTTGGAGAGCAGGCTTTGGGATTGCAGCACAGCAGGCCCCCAGCGAGAGCTAAGCATTTTAATTTCGAAGAAGCCACTGCTGCTGGGTGGCAGACACTGCACTGCTGCTAGAGATGAGCCCTTTCATTCTATCTTAAAGTGCTTTATTTTTCATAGAGTGTAGACTGCAAAAACATGGCAAGTCCTGCAAAGGCAAACATAGGTGTGAAAAGTAAATAAAAGTTCATATGTAAACAATACCCTGGAATTTAGTAGCTTTGAGGAAGTTTAACTTTAATGGGTTATTGGGACATTTTGTAGGCTGTATCTATGTCATCCACAGTTTTGATTGCACTGGCAGAGAATTCTGGAAAAACATAACAATTCATGGTCACGCACACAAAAGAGCCAGTCAAACAATTCAAGCAATGTGCCAATGTAATTCAGGAAATATGCAATGGAATCAAATAATGAGAGGGACTTCTCCCCTCTTTCTTAGAAATTAAGTTAAACTTGATGCATTTCAAAGAGTAGTAAGTTTAAGTGTTGGCTCAACACAGGAGAATTCCAGTCATACAATATCCCAGAGCAAGGCGTGTGGGTTTGGAGGTGATGCGATGGCTTATTTTGGATGACTGAATTCAGATTTTAGTGGAATAAAGACTAATGTCTTATTTAATGAATTAGAGTTTTCTTTTGTGAAGAAAATGCCAGTATTTCCCAAGATTTAGTGTTTGTGAAAGTTGTTTCCATAGAAAGACAGACAGTGTGATCCTTGGACATTGTGGCCTCAGATTTTGGGTAGCTCGCTCCTCGGGAATGTGGACAACTTACCTGACACTATTGCTTCAGCGCCCTCATTTGTGAAATAAGGGTTAAGGCAGGACATAATTGGTAGTGTTCTCGGGATGCTGACAAGATGTAGTGCTTGGGAGCTCCCAGACACACGATGTGTTTATCCCCACTGTCTCAGAAGGAAGCTCTGAGAGAATGAGTCTGTTGAAACTGGATTTAAGGAACCTGAAACCCTTGACTGAGCTCTGTGTCCAATCTTTTAGGAAGGAGGTGTGTGGGGGTCAGACATAATAAACTG